AAATCGAAACCGACCAAAGTCAAAATTTTTCAACAAGTAAAAATATAGAAATAGTAAATAAAATTATTAACATAATAAATATAATCTTAATATAAAAAAAAAGTGTGTCGTTTTTTTTTTTTTTTTGTAAAATCCAGTTAACCGAACCGAATAAAAAACTAAATTAAACTCATTTCGATTTGTTTAACCAAATTTCAGTCGGTTCAAATTGTATACCGACACCGTGCACCGTAGTGTTGTACATTAATAACTGCTAGATTTTACATTATATTTTTTTATATAGAATATTACGTTTTTTAATAAAAAAGAATAGTATAAATTATTAAACTAACAATATTACAATTCTAAATACATTTTTTAATACAAATAATATTTATTTCTATTATTCCAGTTTCGACAACCTCTCAGTCGATATAACTAAACCGATCGTTGATCCGACCAATTAATAACTATTTAATTTTGTATAAATGTAAAGAAATTTTATAATGTGCGTGTAAATTCTCAAATTGTGCATATAATGTAATGTTAATGTGCAATATATTGAACTTTTAATCAAATATAATACTATCATACTATTAAAATATCATCTAATAAAAGTTTTGAAATTGCACAATAACCCCTACAAATTATCAAATTTTCAACACAAAGCCCCAACACAAAAAAAAAAAAAAAAAAAAAAAAAAAAAAGAAAAAAAAAACCAAAATATTGTGACAATACACGCGCACGTATATGATACACACTCAGCTGCACCGCCCCGACCGCCGCCGTCCTCCGCTCCATTTACCGGCCATCTTTTCCGGCCAGAGGCGCCACCGCCATCACCTCACGACCTGTAAACTGGTCCAATCACCGGCAAGGATATGTCACCGTGAATGTCGGTCCCCGTTCCGCCAGAACCGTCGTCGCCGTGTCGTTGCAGACTGAAAGTAGGTCCCGGTCGCCGCCGCTCGACGGCATAGTGGCTCGCCGGACTGCAGCGTTCGGTCTGACAGAGGTGGTCGTGAACGCCGGACCCGTCGTGGTGCTCGACGGCGGAGGAGGATGCGAAGGACGTCGGAAATGGCGGCGGAGATACGGCGGTGGCATGGTGGTGGCTGAGAACGACCGTCGGAGATAGATGGGAGAGCAGAGGGAGAGCAGAACGACGGGGGAGAGAGAGGAGGGAGGAGATAAGGTGGAGAGAGAATGTTAAATTAGTTTGGTGATGTGGGTCCCACTTAATTGGATGGGTGGTATAAAATTACATAATTGTCCTTAAATGTATTAATTTGACCAAAAGATGTTATGTTATTTACCATATTGCCATTAATGATTGACTAAATTTGACTTTATAATGACCATAGATATATTAGATCTAATGGTCCAGAATTATTCTTATTTCTTTTTTGGGGAACCATTCTTATATGATCCTAACTCTATATATATATTATAAATATAACATGTTTAAAACTATACAAAATATTACATGTGAATAATATGTATTATAGTCTAGAAGAAAAATTAATAATTATATGAGTGAACAATATGTATTACCGCTTACAAAATATCTTGTATTACAACTTGCCAAAATTAGACATTACATCACACTAGTTTTATGGGAGTTGTTTATATAGTAGACATAAAATATAAAAGCAGTAGTAATTAGACAATAAGTCACCGTTAATTTTTTCAACTTGAAGAATTTTTAATTGAACCACTGCCCTATTATACGTATAAAAAAAGTTTTATGTAGCGGATTTATATATATATATGTTCTGCCTAGCAGATTTATATCTTATCTATACAAAAAATTAAAAATCGATTTACAATACAAAATTTAAAAACTTACGTTTCAAAAACAATAGTATAAAAAGGAAATATATCTCGCATAAAAAAGATATTTATTTTTATCTCATGAAAAAGGTATATATATCTCATAACAAATAGTTCATTTTCAAAATATGAAATTGAATAAACCAATTTAAATATTACTTCAAAATTGTATTTTGTGTATATAAATGTCAATCTAAATCGTTGATTCTAATAAATATGACAAGATAAAAAAGAATCCTCATAAATAAAAATTTCAAAATTGGCGCCATATAAATTTAAATATTACTATAAAATTTTAATTTATAAATATAACATATACTAGTGTTGATGCTCGTGCAATGCCCGGAGTGCAATACAAAAAGTATTTTTTATTTAAAGATTATAAAATTATTTAAGACATTATGAAATTATATTCTCCACAATATTCTATTAAGTAATAATATGACATTTATTTATTTTCTATTATTTTTAATTTCTATTTTTATATGTTATTTTTGTAGTTTTTGACTATTTAATATATATTATTATATATAAGTTTATAAAATATTATAAATGTATAATATCATATGATATTAATTTGCATATAAATTACTTGTATGTACTTACAAAACTATCGTTTATCATAGTCTTATAATTTGTTTAACAGTTTATAATTTGCACATTGCTTGATAATTGACCGACATTTAACCCATAATATTTATGTTACGCTATAATTATCAAGTGTGTTAAATGTTAAAAAAAATTGATAAATAATTTTTTAATTTTTATTAACTTTATTCCTGATGCAGCACATAATTTTTTATGGTTAAATATTCTATTTTTATGTTTTTTTTTTATTTTTTATTTATATTTATTTCTTTAATTCATGTTTTCAACATATATAATGAGTTACATAGTATCTATTCGAATATCTAGATATATTATATATTTCTAAAATTATCAAATGCTATAATTTAAATTATTATCATTTTTTTTTTATTAACATATTTTTCATTTATAAACTAATATATAAAAATATATTTTTTAAAAAAATTGAATATCTTTTTAATGTAAGTACGTACTTATAAGGTGAAATTTATAATTCTTAATTGCACACGACCATCAAATTTTATTTTCATCAGTATATTTGAAGTGAAATAGATTTC